AATAACACATGTACATTTTACTGCAATTGGATGTGTTTTAGTATTTTTTTTTTAATAGTAAAAATTTATAATATTAATAATTATTTGATATAATATTAAATAATATACGGATCTGATCATTATGATCTTAATATATATGTTTATTTAAAAAAGATTAAAAATATTTATAAGTATAATAATCGTGTCGATAAATCATGGGTTTGTTTGTGTTTTGATTTAAACATTTTTTTATATAAAATATAAATAATCGTGTCGATAGTATAAAAAATAATATTTTATATTAAATATTGACTTTTATAACATAATAAAATATATATTGAAAATCTTTTCATAAAGAAATATATCTTGGACAAACAAACTCAATTTATTTATTTTTCAATAAGACGCATCATTCAAACAAAATAAATAAATATAGTAACGAATGACATGTGATGTGGGGATCATGTACTCGTCATCTTGAATTAATTAAATGATTTGTCTTGTCGACTCTAATTTGGAAGCTATTATGTTTGATTGAAATTTATCTATAATGACTACAAGTTCTCATGTTATAAAAAATTAAATGCAAGAAAAAAAAAATTATATTTTATTTTTGCAAAAAAAATAAAAAATAATACTTCCTGTGTCCCAACTAAAGTATATCTTTTATATTTTTATTTGGCTAACTCAAAAGTATATTTTACTATTATAATAAAAATAACTAATACTAAAATACATTTACTTTTTTCATAAATTATAAATATAATATTACACATATACATAAAGTATAAAGGGAAAAATTGTTAAAATTGTTTACATATTTCTACTAACTAATAAAATACTATTATTTTTTAATATACTACAAACATTCCTATTTTATCTGCTCGGAGGGAGTAATATTTAATGTTAAAATGATTGTATTGAGTAAAAAATAAAAATAATTTTAGAATTTATATTTGTTTTTAATAGTTTATTTAAATGTATTGTTGTAAATATATTGAATTATGAGGTACTTCCTCCTAAAATTAAGTTACTTACTCCCTCCTAGATTTAAGGAATATTGATATTATATTGGTAGTGGGTAAAAAATACGAGTAAAAACTTTTTTGCCCTTGTGAGTATATTAGTGTAAAAAGTAGTGGCAATTGTGTAATAATAATAAAAAAGTAAAGATAGTTTTATAATCATATGATTATTTATAGAAATGAGACTATTGTTTTGAAACGGACAAAAATAGTAAATAAGACTATTGTATCAGAACGAAGGGAGTATTATGTATTAAAAAAACTCTAATGGCATCCAAAGGACTAGTGACATATAATACTCCCTCCGTCCCACATAATTTGTCCCTATTTTCTATTTTCGTCCGTCCCACATAATTTGTCATTTTCTTTTTTGAAAAATTAATTATACATTTTAATCATATTTTAAAATTTAAAATTTAATTTTTTTTTTAATTTTGATTTAACTATTTAGTTATCTTAATCTTAATCTATAATTATTTTTACTAAATAATTATTATTTTTACTAATACATTTTTTAATTAGTTACTAATTATATTTTACCTAAATTCTCGTGTCTACGGTAATATACCCATATTTCATGGGACAAAGGGAGTAACACAAATTTAAAACATTTTTTGTTTTTTCAATATAATATAATATAATATAATAATATAATAATAATAATAAATAATAATAATATGTATATATATAGTATATTGGTAACAGCAAAGTAGTGATGATGCTCAACTACCTAATAATACCCTTTGGACTATTTCTTGTACACACTACCTAGCATTATTTTATTTTATTTTATTTTAATTTATTGATTTATAGTAATAATAATAATAATAATAATAATAATAATACAAAATGGGTTGGTGTTTTTATTTATTTATTTAAAAGTAAAGAACCTATTAAAAAAGTTATCTGTCTACTATGAAATGAAATGAGATCATAGGAGCATTTAGTTAAGTTCGATTTTATATTGAGTAATAAGATGTTATTTAGTTGTAATTTTAATTATAATAGTAAAAGAAAATTATTAAAAATAATTTTCAAATGTGCTATCAAAATGTTAAAAATTATACATCAATACAATATAAATATTATTTTATAGAAAATATAAATATATATACAATTATATATAGTTAATATTATAAATTAATTAATAAAAAAAATAATACTATATATTTACTTAGAAAAGATATAGAAATATGAGATTAGATGTAAATAAAAAAAAATTATGATTATAGTAGTACTAACTTTGGCCTAAAAAACAAATTTTATAATTTCAACAGTAAATATACACTATTCAATTTATACGATTTTAAATAAAAATAAACTTTTATTTTATAAAATATCATATCAAAATAATATTTAAACAAAAATGTGAATAAATAATTCATTTTAAACCACAATCAAATAAACTTTTAAAATAATTAAAAATATATATCATCTCCGTCCCATAACAAAAGTATGTATTTTTCTATTTTAATTCATCTCATAACAAAGTATTCATTTCCTGTTTTTTTTAGTAATTGTACTATCTACCTAACATTACAAATACCCTTACAACTTACAATATATTACACAAATGTCATTACTTTTATATCACGCAATACTAATAAGGTTATTTTAGTTATTTATATTTTATTCATACTTACATTCCAATATAATACTAATATTTCTAAAACCCCTTGCAAAAAGCAAATGAATACATAATTATGGGACGAATGGAGTATATAAATTCAATTAAATTTTTGTGCGTAGAAGTTTCTAAGTGTGGTTTAAATATGATACTCCATTCGTCTCAATACAATAGTCCTGTTTATCATTTTTGTCTGTCCCAAAATAACAGTCTCATTTCCATAAATAATCATATCATTATAAAACTACCAATATTTTTTCATTATTATTACACAATTGCCACTATATTTTACACTAATACGCTCATAAGGGCAAAAAAGTCTTTTACCCGTACTTTTTACCCACTTGCCAAACACAACTCAGACTATAATTTTGGAACTGAAAGAGTATTTTAAAAAAAAAAAATGTATTTTTATATAGAATTGTACAATAAAAATAAAATAAATTAGTATAAAATAAAATTCTGGATAACACACCAAGTGGGGTCCACCATTTTGGCAAACCTCCTCGCACGTGTATGTCGCTTTTAACAAATTAATTCACAATATTTATTTGGTTGATTGATTATTGATTTATTATTATAATTGAAATAAATAATTATATACAAGTTAGACTTTTTTAAAAAAAAATTAATTAACTAATTAAATGTATGTTTTAGAATCTCTAATCCATTAATGTAAATAAATTAGGTTTAGACTTTAGCAGGTCAGCTGCTGTGCAATTTATTTATTTATTTATTGGCTGATTATTGATTTATTATTATTTCTATAAGCTTAGGCTGTTATTTAATTTACTTTTAGGAATAATCATTAGCTGCGTTATGTTTATTTATATATAAATAATATATTATTGTATTTAAAATTTGAACTAATTCGAGAATTGCTGTATGAATGGTTGACAAAAATTATTAAAATAAATACTCAGATGGTTTATTATTTAAAATTACATTGGATAAATGTATTTTTATTTAATATCTGATAATAATAATAATAATAATAATAATCTCTGTCACATGTAATATGAGTGTATTATTGTAGATACGAGAGTTTAAGTAAAATATAATTAATAATTAATTAAAAATATATATTAATAAAAATAATTATTATATTGTAAAAATAGTTATAGATTAAATTAAAATAATTAAATAGTTTAATTAAGATTAAAAAGTTATAAAAATTAAATTTTAAAATGCGATTAAAGTCTATAATTATATTTTCAAAAAAAAAAGATAAATTACGTGGAACAGACGAAAATAGAAAATATAGACAAATTATGTGGGACGGAAAAATTAAAATAATATTTATTATTATTTTTTAATTTACTATAAAATTTCAAAGAACTTTTGGCATTCGGGACAACATCATATGTTTTTATTTAACTCAGTAACCATCTCGGTATTACTGGCTCTACTCTGTCATAACTAATTTGTCTACTTTAGTTGGAGTACAAAATTTTAGATATTATATAATTAATAACTAATTAAAAAGTATATTAGTAAAAATAGTTATGATATAATAAAAAATAATTATAGTTTAAGATTAAAATGCTAAATAGTTATTAAATAAAAAAATTATAAATTATAAATTTTCAAATATAATTAAAATATATAATTATTTTTTTTAAAAAGACAAATTATGTGGGACGGATCAAAATAGAATGAGTGGATAAATTATGTGGGATGGAAAGAGTAAATTTAAGCATTTTTTATATTAAATTTAAAAAATAATAATATTTTATTAAATAGTAAAAACATACTACTTTCATCCGACTATAAGTGTCTCATTTACTTTTTGCATATTGATATTTGAATATTAATGATTATATTAAGACGTAGTACAAATTAAGAAAAAATTACAAAAATATTTCTATTAGTGTATTTTAATACTAATAGAATAAAATTTGTAAAAAAAAAAAATTACATAAAATATAAAGATATTTTTAATGCTAAGTATAATAATTGCAAAAGATAAATAAACTCTTAGAGGCTGACGGATGAAATACAAAATAGTTTTAATATTTTTGTCCAGTATAAAAAAATAGATATTTTTATAAAAAATTAAAAATATGTTAACATATGTATATAATTACATTCACAGTAGTAAAAATATAATATACTTTTTAAATACTGATGTTGAAATAATAAAAAATAAAATAAAATACATTGAAGTAGGTACGAGTTCATAACATTTATAAAAATAAATGATATAAAAATACCTCCTAAATAAATATTATTTTAAGCAATCAGGGGCCCACATGTTCCAGCTAGTGAATATAAAGCGCATCACTACTATGATTTGACCATTTTACCCTCCACCGTCTTACCTGTCTTCATATATATAAAGAACCTTCGCGAACCCTTAGACCACCGCCCCAAATTATAAGAAAAAAAAAATCCAAAAACTGTCAATGGCAAAGAGAGGAAAGCTCACGAAAATCAAGTCGGTGCTGAAAAAAATGCAGTCTTTCAAGATCGGTCGCACCAATTCCAGTTCGATTGCCGCCGGTAATTTCTCCGACGAGCGCTCGTCGAAGGACCTCCATGCCGTCTACGTTGGAAGATCGCGGCGACGCTACCTCGTGACTTCTGAAGTGTTGGAGAATCCGCTTTTCCGCGAGCTCGCCGAGCGCGACGAGTCGGCGATTACCGTCGGGTGCGAGGTCGTTCTGTTCGAGCACCTTCTGTGGATGCTCGAGAACGCCGATCCGCAGCCGGAGTCACTGGACGAGCTCGTCGAGTTCTACTCGTATTAGTCGCACCGCCGCGTCGGGGAGCGAGATATTCTACATTGTACGGTCACTGTGTATAGATGACAGTTGTACTGTATCAATGTATGTATAATGTATGTATGTATGTATCAGTTGAATGCTCTATTTTTATTTATTTTTTTATTTTTTCTGTTGTCAATAATCAGATTGATCGACGGTGTAGATTTGTAATTCGAAGCCCGAGGAATAGATCTGTCCGTTGATTTAAGCGGTGGGATTGTTTCGTTTAAGTTAAAATTTCATATTAAGCCTGACTCTCCTTGCAGTAGACGAGGGGCAAAATTGGTATAATTGTACCATGGGTTTCAGGCTTCTGCACTTGCAGTAGACGAGGGGCAAAATTGGTATAATACGGGTTTCAGGCTTCTGGAATTTTCAATTATATTATTATTATTATTATTATTATTGACGTCATCATCGGCATCATCATCATCGTTTGGGCGAATTTAAGACTCTTATATATATATATAACTATTATTTTATTTTATTTTATACTTATGGTGGAATAGAATCATGCCTTCATTTAGTTTATAATAATTTTCTTGAAATTTCAATTGTTTTAAAACTACATTTGAAAAATAAAAGTTGGTTTAATAGTTATAAAAAAAAAAAATTAATTAATTTTGTAGTTAGAGCTGTTAATTAATGACAAAATAAGAGTTAAACATAGAATTTTTAAAATTATAAGAGAATATAATAATAAAATTTTAAAACAATATGGAAATTTTTACAATTTTTTATAAATTACAAATTGATTTAATATGTTTTGTTTACTTATATAGCGTCATTCAGTTTTACTATTAAACAATAAAATGTTGTTTGGTTAGAAATTAGACAGTGATTTAATATATATTTGATTAAAAATACATTTTGATTTTCTTTTCAAATATATTATCATATTAGAAGTTTTCAGCAATGACAGGTTAAATATAAAATTATTTTTTATTTAAAAAATCGAAATAATAATTAATACTACTACATACAAAATTAAAAATACATTTTAACTCTGATTCTCACGTCATTAAAAAATATATATATACATTTAGCCAATACAGAAACTATAATCCAAATTTGGGCTTGTAAAAAAATAATTAAATAATAAATGTTTGTTTTGTGAAACAGTTGAAAATAATTTTTTTTTATTTTAAATATAAAAAATTATAAAAATAATTTAGTGTACTAGTATTTTTGGAAAAATATATAAGAAAAATATAAAAAAAAAAACACATTTGTATTAATTGGATAGTTAGGACCACTTTATCGATTTCGCTTATATTTAAATTTTATGTTTAAACAATAATCGAATATCATATGTTACGAAAAAATATACTCCCTCCGTCCCAGATATTTTGGGCCTATTACCGTAGATACGAGAATTTTTATAAAGTATAATTACTAAGTAATTAAAAAGTGTATTAGTAAAAATAATTATTATTCAATAAAAATAATTATATATTAATATTAAAATAAATAAATAGTTTAATTAAATTTGAAAAAATTATATAATTTAAAATTTAAAATGTGATTAAAGTGTATAATTATATTTCTAAAAATAGAAATGACAAATTATGTGGGACAAACAAAAATAGAAAATAAAGACAAATTATATGGGACGAAGAGAGTACATTTTTACAAAAATTATATAATAAAGTAAATTTAAAAATAAAATTCGACATATAACATAAAAATTATGATTTTTTTATTATAAGAAATGAGGAAATGTGTCTATACTCCAAATAATATATTTAAAATAAATAAATAAAATAAATAAAAGTCTTCCTTGGATAACATTTTTAGATGAAATGATTTTTTTGTATGGTATGAACAATTAGCTAAAAAAATATGAAATATATTATTTTAAGTTAAATATTTGAAGTTTTGTAATGATTTTTTTGACAACGGAGTATTTTGATTTTTTAACTTTTGTATAAAATATTTTATATTTTTTATTGTTATATTTTGGGAATCGAAATTAAAAAAAGAGATAGAGTGATTATATTTATAAAATGATATTAATATTTTGAGTGATATACTACTTCTGTCCGGCTCAAAGAATCGTATTTACCTTTTGCGTCATTGTATTTAACATTAAAAATATCAGTATATTTATATAATTTTTTGTACAAATGTTATTATAATAATATTACAAGACACTAATATAAAAACTTTTTGCATCTACCCAAAGTTTTGAAAGAACTTTTTCATTTAAATTTTGATTATTTTTTATTTACCCTTAAAACTTAATTATTTATTTTATACATATAAATATATTTTTATAGTAGTATTTATTAATTATTTAATTTATTAAATTATATTTTTATTTTTAAATTCAAAATAACTATTATTATTATTAATTATTATATATAAATTATTTTATTGGTAAAATATATAAATTTTTAAAACTAAATCAAATAGAAAAAACAAAGGTTATTAATTTATTTATATATATTAAAACAATAATTAACATAATAAAAATATATATAAGAAATATTTATTATTTTATATTTTACATAATTTCAATAAAAAATTATTTTTTTTTTCATATCTAAATAATAAAAATAAATATTTTTATAATTTTCAATAATTAATAACAAAAATTCTTAAAAATTTCAAATTAAAATGAACAAAATTAAATATTTTAAAAAATAACATATCAATGTCCTTAATAGTTATTTTAGGTATAAACAGCTAAGTCAAACCGTTCTTTTACGAAACATTTTAATACAAATCGCTAATTGAATCAGCTAGTTAAACCAACTAATTGAATCAGCTAACAGCTAATTGTCAAACGCACCATAAGTATTTTTGTCATTTTCACTTGATTTATACTACGATTTCATATAATAACTAAGGTTGTGTTTGGTACAGAGAAATGAGGTCAGTGAAATGAAAATGGTATCATTTCTCTTGTTTGTTTGAGTCAAGAGAAATGGAACTTGAGAAATAAATCATTTTCATTTCTCTGTTTTCATTTCTCTCCCATATGCAGAGAAATGGAGAGAAATGATGTTGCAGTATATATATTTTTTAATTTTTAAAATTTTTTGTACTATTTAATTTTTATAATTTTTTAAAAATTATATTATTTTAATTTTACAAAAAACAAACTTAATTTATTTTTAAAGTATTTAATTTTTATTGACATTTTAAGAAATTGTACTAGAATATAATCTTAAAAAACATCGTATATAATTTATAATTTTTTTAAAAAAAAATTACCAAAAATATTTTTCATGAATTCTCATTCGTTAAAACTCTCTTTTTATCGTGTTAATCATTTATTTTTGTTTGCTCATTCATATATCTGCATCTTTTTTTAGATTTCTCAAATCAAATCAATTCTCTGTTTTATCAAACAAGAGAATTAATTCTCATTCTCTGCTCAATTCTATTTCTCTTCAATTCTATTCTCTGCTATCATTTCTCTGTAATTCTATTATCCGTACCAAACGCCCCCTAATATTCAAATATCAATATGTAAAAAAAGTAAATAGAATTCTCAGAGCCGGGCGAATGTACTATTTATTTATTTAATAAATATTAGATATATAACATAAATTTAAAAATAATGGAGTATAATGTAATGTAAAATATGTAGTATGTATAAATATACTAGGACATCTATAAAGCGCAATTAGGGGCTTTAGCAATGTCTTTGTCGCAATCAAATAAATTATGGATTATTATTATTATTATTATTATTAAATGGAGTAAAAAAGAATTAATAAAATGGATAATTGTAATTATTGAGGCCCATCAGCCCACGTGTGTTTGGGCCCACATAAAAGCCCAATACAGTGTTCTTTCATACCAACCAACTTTTTGACATCAAATCATGGGTGTGTTTGTTTGGAAAAATGTTTGAAATATATTTTGGGTGTGTTTGTTCGGGGGATTGGATTAGATTTCCACTATTCATCCTATCTTTTTTCCCAAAAACATCAACTCAAATACCTATTTTTTATTTTTTATATTATACTAAAAATTAATTTTATATTCAAACCATCACATCAACACCTATTTATATCAAATCATACAACTATTTAAATTCAATAATTTTACTATTCAAATCTCAACTCAAAATCAAAACCCCCAAACAAACACACACCCTTTATGTAAAGTATAGGAAATTATGTAGAAAATAAAAATAAAAAATATGTACAATATATTAATATTTTTTGAAAAATATTTGAGGAAGAAAATAAAAAAGAACAAATCCATAATCTTTTTTGCTCTTAAAATTGTGTTTATTTTTCTTTTTTATTTATCTTCTAAAAATATTCTAATTTTTTAAGGACAAAATTATATTATTTTTTTTTAAAAAAAAATAATACTATAAAAGCACAAAGAAATTCGACCAGAACTCTACATTAAAATTTTCTATGAGATAAATGAAGTATAGTTTTTAAGAAAAGAATATTAAATAATATAGAAAAAAAAAAAAAAAAAAAAACTCAAATAGAACAAACCATATTTATTTGGGACACTTTTGAGTATTTTTACATAAAAAATAATTTCAATACATTAAATAAAATTATATTTTAAATAAAGAATTTTCTTTCCGTTCCGGGAGTCTAAATTCAATTTTATACGTCTCATATCACTTTTATTTTTTGAAAAAAATAATTATATATTTTAATTTTATTTTAAATTTTTATTTAATTAATTAATTATTTTATTTTTAATTTATAATTATTTTTATTATATATAATTATTTTTACTAATATATTTTTTTATTATTTATTAATTACACATATTTTAAATTTTTGTATCTAAAATAATATCGACACAGTATGAGACGGAGAAAGTAAATTTTATAAAGTAAATTGTCATAATACAAAAATAAGAGGGAAAAAAAAAAGATTAAAAATGAAAAAACCATTAAAATCAAAATCAACATCATAATAATTGTGGCAGTCGAACTTTAGGGATTCATCTTACAAAACCCAATTTTGGAAATATAATTTATTTATAGTATTTTCTTTAGCCACGATAAAAATCAATCAACTAATTAAAAATCTTTAAAAATAAAAAATTTAAAAATATACAGTAATTTTTTTCTTAAAAAGTCGAAATAAATAGAGTTTAAAATTTACTTTTATTCTAATTTAAATACATTAAGAACATGTCATTTAACTATTTTTTTACTAACACGATCTCAATGAATATTACTAGAAAATATAATACTCCTCCATATATAACAAGCTATCCATTTTTCTATTTTTTTTTTTTTAGTAATTGTACTATCTACTTAACATTACAAATACTCTTACAACTTACAATATATTACACAAATATCATTACCCTTATATCAGACAATACTAATAAGATTATTTTAGTTATTTCTGCTTTATTCCTACTACATTCCAATATAATACTAATATTTTTAAAACTTCGTACAAATAGCAAATAGATACATAAATTTGGGACGGAGGGAGTCTATGATTATGAATAATGTATATATATTTTTTTATCTGGTAAATTTAAAAATTTAGTCCAACTTGAAAATTAAAAAAATTATATATATATTTTATTAAAAATGTGATAAAAGTAAAAAAAAAATAGTTGAAAGAATTTCATTGTAAATAAATATTGAATGAAGAGTAATAATTAAATATTTTGTTCACCCAACATAAATTTTTGATATATTTTTCGATTAATGACCAAACAATATACACATAAATATTTTATTTACTTATAAAAAAACTAATATTTTAATATTATTTTATATATTATGGGTTCTATATATCTAATAAGTGTGTTTGTTTGGGGGGTTTGGATTTTGAATTAGGATTTGAATAATAAATATTTTGAATTTGAATAGTTGTATGATGTGATATAAACAAGTGCTGATGTGATGTTTTGAATGTAAAATAGATTTTTGGTATAATATAAAAAATAAAAAATAGATATTTGATTTGATTTTTTTGGGAGAAAAAATGAGATGAATAGTTGATTTAAAATCCAATCCCCAAACAAACACACCAAAGTGGATACACCATCTATGTGTATATATAATTTAATTTGAACCCCACAAAGAGTGGATTATGAGACATTAGGTCAAAATACAAATCTAATTGTAATTTGAAAATTGTTTATTGAATAATAGTGGCTATTGCTATAGGTGTGTCCAAATTGTAGGCCCAATTTAGGATGAGAATCCAATAATTTATCGTTGAAACTAACTTTTTTTTTTTTTTTTTTTTTTTTTTTTCCGGATGACGTGGGAATCCATAGCCGCTACCGAAAGTGCGCACTGAGTAAACCCCCGGTCGAATCTAATACCTGCAAATCAGGGCCGACGAGAAAGTCACACTAGGCAAACCATGTGGCAGGTGACCTGAGGCGTTGGGGGTTTGAACCCATAATATCACGGTCACAAGTCCAACTCCTACACTATCAGGTCATCCCTTACGCACTATTGCAACTTATTTTTAAAGCTTGTTTCAATGGATTATTATTATTATTATTATTTTATTTTTTTATTTTTCTAGTGAGATAGTTTTTAGATGAATTTGAAATATGGTTGTGTTTCATGTTTATAGGGTTCATTTGTTTAATGTTTATTTTGAGATTTTTTTATTTTGTTTTTTTGACGTTGAATAATATAAAATATAATATTTTAGGTTGAATTGTTATTTTTTTGATGAGCAAATGAAATATAAATATTATATATTGAGAATCGTGTTAAAAAAATATATATAATTGAATGAACAAACAATAATTTATTTTTTGAAGTAAAAATAATTACTCCTTCTGTTTCATAAGATAAATATTATTTTTCATAATTCTTACTTAACATAATAAATATCATTAACTTATAATATATTCCATAAATAAATATCATTATTCTAATATTACACAATATTATTTTTATCTTTTACATTACAAACTAATTTAATATTAATATTTTAAAAAATAAATTCTATTCTTCTTCCAAACTCAAAGTATCTGATTTGATAATTGGTACGTTAAATCAATGTAACCATCAAAAGAAAATTATATATGTTTGATTGGTTACGCCTACTAGACTAATACGTTGGGGTGTGTTTGTTTAGCGCTTTGGATTTTGAGTTGGGATTTGAATAGTAAAAATTTTGAATTTAAATAATGATATGATGTGATATAAATAAATGTTGATGTGATGTTTTGAACGTAAAATTAATTTTTAGTATAATATAAAAAATGAAAAATAGGTGTTTGATTTGATATTTTTTGGAAGAAAAAATTAGATAAATAGTATAAATCCAATCCAATTCCCCAAACAAACATACAAATATTTTAATGTTATATATTTTCTTATGCTTTATGATATGCTTATTTCGTTGAAATTTGTTATATAAAATTATATAATGTATTATATTACTATTTGTTGTGTGAATTATAATATATTGTGTTATCAAAATAATATGTTATCTCGAATATGTGCTACAATTTTTTATAAGCATTTACTATATGCATTATATATTGTGTTATGACTATATTGATTTGGCTCAATTATACGGTAACCAAAACGGCATATAAAATATCGGCAAACTTTGGTATGGTGATTTGTAGTTTGAAAATTATCTTTGTAATGTGTATGCTATATTAATATATATTTAAAATATATAATTATTTTTAAATAATTTTAGGGTTTTATTTTTAAAGTTTAATTTTATTATTTTTTTATTGTAATTTCAAACAATATGTTTTTATAAAACATTATATAATAAAACAAAAAGTTTCTAAAAAAAAAAACTGTAAATGCCTATTTATTTATAAAGACATGAGCGAAATGAGAAAAGAAATGAAAGAAAAACTTGATCATGAAGCAAAGCATTGCTTCTTTTATTTCTATTATATAAAAGACTAAATTACAGATTTATTTTCATATTATTCATATAAAAATATTTATATTAATACTTCTTATTCTTATTTAAATATTATTTTTTAAAAAAACATTTTTTTTGCTCAAAAGACTATCCAAAATCTATTTTTTATTGATATAATTATCATTATAAAAACAACTAAAAGAATCAAAATTTTGTTTAGATAAGAGTTTGAATGGATCGAAGGTAAAATCCTCGAGTACTAAAACTTTTAAAGTATATTTGTTTTTTTATTATTTCAAATTAAAATCAATATTATTCACTTGACACAATTTTCAATAAAAATACATTATTTTATCATACAAAATATCACATCGAAATTCTATTTAAATAAAAATTAAAAAATCAACACCTCATTTTAAATTAATTTCAAATTATAAAAGAACACAACCTTTAAAAAATAAGGGATGCTAATTTGATATATATTTTTTTATGTAATTGTTTGAATAATATTCATACATCTTTCAATCTTAACTATTTTGGTCCCTCCCAATAAAAAATACATCTTTCATTTTTTTAGTAAAAATAATCAATAATTAATAACAAAATACCCTTGACTTTTATCTAAATTACAAACATATTATTACACATATAATTACTTTGTAAACGTCAAAGACAAAAATATCAAAAATCTCTCACACACTTCTCGTAACCAATAAAATCAAATTATTTTTTAATCTCTTACCAAAACTATTTTTCAAAATAGAGGGAGAAAATATAAAAGTAATAAATATAGATAATATATTATTTTTTTTTAAAAAAAAAAAATGTTTTAGGAGAAATATATTTTTCCACACTCGTTTATAGGAAATATATTTCATGAACTGAAAATTGTGCTTATGTGACCTATTATATATATATATATATATATTTAATTTGCTATTAGCACCATGCTGAAAGTGCTTAATCAGCAGCCATGCAAAACAGAGTAAAAATTACTTCTAAATCACATAAACACGTAATATAGTAACAAGAAAGCTTTCAAGATTGCAAACTAAAAACATGCAGTCATATAGAGAAGTTCTTAGACACCAAACAAAAATGTCGATCTTACCAACTAATATCGAGCAACCGATCCAACAATCCGGCGAAGCGCGCCGGCCGAATCCGAATAGTTTTCGATGAAAATCCTTCACAAGAAGATCAAACATATATATATAGTTGATCAATTCTGCAAAAGAAAAAAAAGGAATAAAAGCTCAAGAAATTCTGAAGAAATTCAAAGAAAGAACCTCCAAATGTGCAGCAAATTTGTGTGGATCAGGCAGCTTGATCCTTCCTGTGATGTTCCATACACTGCAGGAGATATTTGAACGTCTCTGTATCGCAGGGGATCGTGAGGCCGCCATTGTTGTCGTACCCAAACTCCTCCTCAACCTTCTCCAACAGCACCTTGAACAGTGGATCGCTGAGATAGCTCGTCGGAATGATGAATCGCCGGCGCTCCTTTCCGACGTACACCGCAAGGTATCCTCTCGGAACATCGCTCGGCATTTCTAGGCTCTGGCAACTGTCCTCGTCGGAATCGCAGTTCGTGTTTGAGTTTTGAAGCCTCAGATTAACTTGAGGAGAAAGTCCTCCTATGGCGTCGCTTGATTTTGGTGTATCTGTGCTCTTCGGACTGTTCCCGATCGTCGCGTGTTGCCATCTCTGAAGGAATTCTTTCAGTTTCACGATTTGGCTTATGCCTGTGATCTTGTTACCTCCTCCATTGTCATCCATTGCGGAGCTTGGATTCAAATATTCCAATTTCCAATCTACGAATTGAGATTGAAGATTAGATGTAATTTTTTTTTTGTCTTTTTTCACATCCGATTCCTCGATGAAAAATCAGTCTCAACTATTTTTTCAAAGATCAGATCCGCGCAACTGTTCGTGAATAAAATAAGAATATACTGCAGAATTGTGGAATTCTAATTAAAATTCAACATATATTCCACATCAAGGCAGTTTCCCCAACAGAATCCGCAAGCAAATCCAAAATCAATCCCCATCACACCAAAAAACAAAAAAATAATCAGAATCACCAAACAGACCCTACCAACACAAACATCCATCAATCTGCGACGATTCAATTCCTAATTAAACATTGAAACAGGATATCTAATCGCTCAATGCAGAAACACGAGATACAAAAACTCAAATACCAAAACAATAATCAGCTTCTCAAAAATAGCGAATCACAATTACGAAACCGTCCGATTACGCGAAAACATAAAAACGAACGCACCAAATCGAATCGCGACAGCGGAAGGCGAGCTAAGAGGCGGCGATGGATCAGAAGAAGGCAGCGGCGGCGACCACGAGAAGAGCAGAAAACATCCATAGAACGCGATCCATGTAGCTTCAATCAGACTCAAGCCTCCTTCCCACGATCTATTTTCTATTCCATCTTTTTTCCCTTTTTATTTATTTATTAATTATTATTACTTTTTATTTATTTATTTTACTTTTCAACATTTCGGAAATGCGTTCTGTTCTTAAGGAAGAGAGAGAAGAATGCATTCGCCTTTACACCTTTAATACGCTCCTTTAGTATTCCCCTAATTAATTACTCCATCCGTCCCACGTAATTTGTCTCTATTTTCTATTTTTGTTTATCTCATGTAATTTGTTCTTTTTTATTTTGGAAAATTAATTATACAATTTAATCATATTTTAAAATTTAAATTTTTTTTTAATCTTAATTAAACTATTTAGTTATCTTAATCTTAATCTATAATTATTTTTACTAATACATTTCTTAATTAGTTACTAATTATACTTTACCTAAATTCTCGTATCTACGGTAATGCACCCATATTACATAGGACGGAGGGAGTAATTAATTAATTTAGATGCCATCTTAAATATATATATATATATATAAATACATTGAATTAGTGCGTAGCATTGATAATAGTAATTATAATAAATGTGTCATCCCACATAATTTGTCTATATTTTTTATTTTTGTCCGTTCCACATAACTTGTCATTTCAATTTTTGGAAATATAATTATGCACTTTAATCGTATTTTAAATTTTAAATTTTATAATTTTCTTAATTTTAATTAAACTATTTACTTATCTTAATCTTAACCTATAATTATTTTTACTAAATAATAATTATTTTTACTAATACACTTCTTAATTACTTATTAATTATATTTTACCTCAATTCTAGTGTCTACAGTAATACACCCATATTACATAGGACGGAGGCAATATAATATAACAAATATTCATCATAAAATATCTTTAATTATTGTTTTTTTTTATTGTTTTAATGTGATATCTTGTAAATAAAATAATATACTGTTATGAAAAATAACAATATTTTTTAAAAAAAATAAAAATTAAAACCAAACTCCAAAGTAGCATGACCTTAGGTTTGTTCTTTTCCCGTTGTTAATTATTTATATCTTTTTACTAATTCAAAAGATAAAGATGGACATCTTATAAAATGAGACATATGAATTATATTAACATAATACAAATATAACACGTACCATAATTTCACGTAGTAACTGGATAAATCAATATAGTCCATCCTAACCAATATATTAATTTTTTATTGTGTTACTACATATAAAAATTATTTTACTTCCAAAATTAAATATACCCTCCCTAATAATAACAACAATAAATCTTAATCAAGGAAATTTTAATGCGTGCATCACGTGCATAATGTTGTAAGAATCAATCAAGTAACACGCGACTCCAAAGCTAGCGTTGCGTTGCATGCATGCAAGGGTGACCAGTATGTAAATATTCAAATTAATTTAAATAAATACTTTGATTTAACATATTAATCTCAATTGGGGATGTAGCTCAAATGGTAGAGCGCCCGCTTTGCATGCGGGAGGTACGGGGTTCGATCCCCCGCATCTCCATTTTTACTTAATTTTCTTCTAGAAGCTACCTATGCTGATCCCTGCCGTTCATCATGACCCACCAATGAACGGGTAGATCCTTCCCGCTGATCCGTCTTCCTTCTCCATCCACACTTTATCTTCTCTCTCCTTTTGTTCCTCTGCAATTTCGAGGTCAATCTGCAGACTGTGGCAGCAGCTGGTTCTCTTGCAATGGCTTCAATTTGTGGCTTAAACAGGGCGCGAGCCCTCCCCTCTTTGCTTCCAGTTCAAATCCCCAAACCTGCATTCTCCCCCAATGCTTTAATTCTACCAAAATCTTCGCATTCCTGTTTCCATGGCATGCGTCTCTCTAATCAGTCAACGACTTCAATTCCTGCTTCATTTTCTACCGTCGGTGGCCTCTCCATTGCCGCCGCCAAGGTACTGCTTGTAATTCCATTATTATTTTTAGGTCAGAAGGATGATTTTTTCTTATTTTGAAGGGAAGCGGTTGTTTGTTTTCTGAATCTGTGAAGGTTTCGGAAGGTACGTTGGCGCCGGATTTTACATTGAAGGATCAAAATGGGAAGAGTGTGAGCCTTTCTAAATTCAAAGGCAAGCCTGTGGTTGTCTATTTCTACCCTGCTGATGAAACCCCTGGCTGCACCAAAGAGGTAGTTAGTTAATTCATTGCTTCATTGATGACAGTCGAGCTTAAATTTGAGTTCATTATCGATTCTTGCAGTTCATTAAACCAGCTTAAAATTAAATTTGTGTTCATGTTCGATTCATTAAGCTCATGTCCAATATGGATTCGTGCAGTTCATTAAACCAGTTTGAATTTAAATTTGTGTTCTTATTCGATCCGTGCAGTTCATTAAACCAGTTTGAATTTAAATTTGTGTTCTTATTCGATCCGTGCAGTTCATTAAACCAGGTTAAATTCAAATTTGTGTTCGAGTTCCATTCATTAAGCTATGTCCAATATAACAATTTGTGCGTTTATACATCGAGCTTAAATTTGTGTTCATATTTGATTCGTGAGGTTTATAGAAAGAGCTCAAACTTGTGTTCATCTCTGATTTGTCGATTATTGTAGTTAATATAGCGAGCTTAAAATTGTGTTCATATTCGACTCGTGTAGTTGTGTTCATGTCCGGTTTGTCGAATAGTTTAGTTTATGAATGAGCTTAAATTTGTATTCGTGTTCAAGTTTACAGAAGATCTTCTTATCGAGTTGAAATTAGCGAAAATTGCAAACTTGTATAGTCTATGGATCGATTGCGAACCATAGCTAATCTAACTAACATCTTCTTACGCCATTTGAACATCGATGACGAAATCAAGAAATGTCTGTATGAGATGTTGAACATATCTCGGTATGGTTTGGTGTTCTTGTCGCAAACGCTTGTCTTAATTTCGTTCCCTGCAGGCGTGTGCCTTCCGGGATTCCTACGAGAAATTTAAGAAAGCCGGGGCTGAGGTTGTTGGCATAAGCGGCGACGATTCGTCATCTCACAAGGTAATCGCCAAAAACCAGCTCATTGTCGACCCCGTGATGTCTTTTTTATCTCGAGTTGTAATAACCGACTATGTTCTTACGTCGATGTAGGCGTTTGCTGAAAAATACCGGCTACCGTTTACCCTATTGAGCGACGGGGGTAACAAGGTTCGAAAAGAGTGGGGCGTTCCTTCTGACTTGTTCGGGTCCCTGCCCGGAAGGCAAACCTACGTCCTCGATCAGAACGGAGTTTGTCGACTCGTCTACAACAATCAGTTTCAACCCGAAAAACACATCGACGAGACGTTGAAGTTTCTCAAGAGCCTTTGAGGCCTACAAGGTTCGTGTCGTCGTCGTAATTAAAATTCTGATTTAGCATTTATTACGTTACGTTACACGCCCCGACGATCTACATCGTGGAGGCTAAAGTACAACGTTTTATTCTTTGCGATTTCGTCGCAATGGAATGAAAAAATGAAATAACGAGCAGAGTTCGATGTAGGTAGGATCCGGAGCTTAGTTTTTGTCGTCGTCGTAATAGTCTTGGCTGGTGTACGGGCTGAATGCCTCAGCGATCCAGCTGTTCTTCCTTCGGGAACTCCATCCCATCTCTTCGCAGATTTCGTCGGTATGGTTTATGCTAAACGTCGAAATGCAGCTGCGCTTGTAGAATCGCGTCGACGCTTTCATGATCTCCATCTCCCGCGTGATTTGTTCGAGCATTTTGTCAACACTCGGGAGCTTGAACTTTCCGCCGACGAGCCTCGACAGCCACTTGCATCGCATCTCGGCCGTGTGCAGATTCGAGACGCTCTCGATGTATCCGACGAACGCCATGTTCGGTATGAGCGGATTTATCGTACCCCTGCCCCAATTTTCGACGTAATTCTGATGATCGTCTCATCTAAAAGTTTATTTCAAGGTATGGATATCTATCGAAAACGTACCTGTATAAGGGCATCATTCCCATCGGGGATTCGAGGAGGCTACGGAAGGGTTCGGGAATTATCGCTCGGAGTTTCCTTTTCCCATCGTAGCCGGTGGCGAGCACGACAACATCGGCATCCAACTTGGTCCCGTCTTCGAGCTCTACGCCGCCTTCCCAAAACCATGACGAGTTCGATCGTTTTATTCGGATATTCCCTTTCTCGACTTCGGGGTAAAAGTTTTCAGGTAAGATGGGCATTTGACACGACGCGTAGTCCTCTTGGAACGAATGCGTAGGCTTCATCCCGTACTTCGCCAACGGAAGCTTCCACGCTAAGTACGACTCGATCATCTTCGATAACGCGCTCCTCTATCGTTAAATTTATACGTCAATACACGCCGAACATATACATACATACATATATATACGTATCGATAGACATCGTTACCATCGGAGAAAGCATGTAGCAAAGTAGCGATCGAAGCACGCCGTGGTTAGGCCCCCGGTGGAGGAACTGTGCGGCGCGGGTCGAGTAGAACATGTAAAACGGCAACCCCCAAATCGAGTAATGCGGGACATTCCAATGTACGTCTCTCGCAATCATCGTACAAGGTTTTCCGTTGGGCCCTGTTAACACGCGAGTTATATGACTATCGAACCAATTCTGCTCAGCAAGTTAGATTACGTCGATCGATTTCACTAACCTCGGTTCGCTTCCACCGTTTCCACGGTCAAGTCGAGCGCCGATTTCTTCGACCCGATTATCACAACCTTCTTGTCCTTGAGAAGCTTGGTCGATTCCTCGGGGCTGAGCTTGCAGTAGTCGAGCGTATGCATCACCCGTCCCCGGAAAACTTCCGGGCCTTTCCCAGCCGAGAATTTCGGGATTGACGGAACGTCGCCGTACTTTCCGGAGCAAATCAAGACGAACTCGAATGCGTACCACTGCATAAACCTTGCGATTAACTAATCTCAATCGATATCGAAAAATATATACATTGTTCGTATATTCGCTCGTAACTTATATTTACCTCGACGTCGTCGGAGGATCCCGTCTTAACTCCGACTTCCCAAACGGGTTCTCCGGGGAGCAGCCTCCCGTAGTCGCCGTCCGATTTCTCGAAGCGTCCGACGAACTTAATCTCGACGACCTTGGAATTGAACTTCACAAACTTGAGGACGTCGAAGCGTTTCGCGTACGAGTAGACGTAGTCGACGATCTCGTGCGCGTACGGGAAATTGGAGTTGTCGCGACGATCCCAAGGGAAGTCGGAGAATTCGTAATCGCAACGCGGCGTTTGTAGCTTTGTCGACGCATAAGAACAGTGCTTCCACACGCCTCCGAGAGTGTCGGTCGCCTCGAACACCACCGGATTGTGCTCCGCCAGCTGCCGTGCGGCGGCGACGCCGCTGATGCCGCCGCCGACGATGGCGATCTTGGATTGAATGGCCATTTGTGTTTTGTTTTTTGTACGTAGAAGTGATTGGCAATTGGAAGTGGGTTTTTTGTGCTGTGAGTATTATGGGAAATGGTTTGAGGGTATTTATAGGTAGAGAAGTATATAGATATATGTGCATGGGAAATATGTATGGGATTATTTAATTTAGACTATAGGGAAATATCGTGGGAAATAAAATGAAATTTGGGGGAAATTTTTTAGAATGAAAACTTTGAATTTTAATACTTTATTTCAAGGAATGTTTTTTTCTTTCTCTTTTGAGTTTTACTTACCCTTTGAGACCATGTAAGGAATTTTAATATATACTTGATTCGTAATATTAATATTTTATTGGTTAGTGAAATTGTCTAAAAAATATTAATATTTTTGTCATTTATATATTTATAATTTAAATAAAAATCGAAAATATTTTGACATATGACTTTTTTAAAAAAATAAAAAATAGATACTATAAGTAGAAAATTGAGAGCAAGGAGTATATACATTATTTATCTATAAAAAATCAACAATTCAATATAAAAAAAAAATATATATTATTTTTTATATTATTGCTAAATGAATTAACCTAGAAAAATACATTCATTAAAAATACAAATTGATCACAGCCATTAATATGTATTATATTAGATAAAAATATTTATTATTTATCATTTTTTTTGTTTTAATGTACGTGTGTCATCAGCAATGTGAAAATAGCAATAGTAATAATAGTAGAATATTTGTGGGAGTTTGAATCGATTGTTCAAAATTAAATTAGATGATTTTACATGTAACTTTACATAAATAGAATTCCAAATTTTAAATATTTATATATATATATATATTATTATTATTATTAACTGTGGTGGGTGTGTTTTCAGTTCCAAGGGTGGCAGGAGTCTTGGAAAAATACATGTATGATATATGGTCACACTGTTATAGTTGTACCTACTCTCTGAACTGAGCTCGGGTGTTTATTCATATTTTCGAATATCACTGTTATAGTTGTACCTACTCTCTGAGCTGAGCTCGGGTGTTTATTCGTATTTTTGAATATCACTGTTATAGTTGTACCTACTCTCTGAGCTGAGCTCGGGTGTCTATTCGTATTTTCGAATATTAAGTTAAAATGGAATTTATATAAACTTGAATACTGCTCAATTCTAATTTTCAATTTGAAATTACATTAACATAACTATAATAATAATAATAATAATAATAATAATCAAATAAATTGTATTAATAATAACAATAAGAATCAAGTAAAACTAGTGATTTATAAACTATAATAACTACTAATATTTATCGAAAAAAGTATTAATTAAAAGAACCATTATACAATAATATAAATTGTATTGTGGAGTAATACTCTTTAATTTAAAATTAACTAAAACATTATTATTTAGGATTATAACAATAGTAATGTCACGATTCAAGTTCAATAGGGATTTTGGATAATTTAGTGACCTAAATTTCTATTTAAAGTTAATTAGGTCAACCCAAAATTTGATATGATTTTCTTTTTTTCATTTTTTGTTTGTATCGATCTAATTAAAAAAATAAAATTAAAACACCTAAATAATATAAATTCAAGAAAATTTTCAAATCACACGAGTTTAGTACTATTCAATAATGACATTCTTTTCTATGAGATGTTTGGATAGTTGTAGTTTATTTATTTATTTAAAAAAATATTTTAAATAAAAGGAATGAAATGAAGTGTGAATATATTTTGGAAGTGTAATATATTTTTAAAAAATGTATTAATTATTTATACAATTTTATACCAATAATCTTTTATATAATATAAATAAATATCATATAGTATAAAATAAAACTTATAAATAAATACTTAGATTTTTATTAACTTAAGAAAGAAAGAGAGTTTGTTTATTGTTTTTTTATCTCATGATTCTATACAAATATTATATAAAAGTATAATATATATTTTATTTTCTCGTAAAATTAATAATTTAATATAAAATATTATTTTTTTTACATTATCAATATAATTATTTATATTTAATAAAAAAAAAGGTTAATTTAAAAATACAAAATAACCAAACTCATTGAAAGATAGTATAAATGAAGTTAACTAATAATAATAAGGAGTCCGATAGACCGAGATTCGACCTATTTATTTGGAATCGGATCCATATATTATGGTAACGGGTCGGATATGGGTCGGGCATTTATGTACCCTTCTAGGGTCCGGATTTGTCTAAGAATGTAAGGGTGGACTTTACGGGAATTTATGTTGGACCCGATTAACATATTAATAATATATCAATTAAATATAAAATATAATTTCTAAAAATATAAGTATTTCTTTTTATTTATTTATTATTTTAATATGTTTGTATTTTTAGTAATTTGTGAATTTATTTTTTATATTTTGAGTAATTACAATTATTAATTATTTAATATTTATTTGTAATATATATTTATTAAATTAAGGGAAAATATAATATTATTAATACTCCGTCCCAAAAGTATAGTCTTATTGCGTTGGACACGTGATTTAAGAAATATTGATATTATATTGCCAGTTGGTTAAAAAGCAATGATAAATAACATTTTTGTCCTTGTGAATGTAAAAAGTAGTGGTAATTGTGTAATAACAATGAAAAAGTATTGATAGTTTTACGGTGATATGGTTGTTTATGGAAATGAGACTATTGTTTTGAAACGGACAAAAATGGTAAACAAAACTATTGTTTTGGGACAAATAAAGTATATTTTTTATATATTTCTTACATAAATTTTATATTTAAAATAAATAAAAAAAAATTTTTACAAAAATATCTAAAAATAGCAAAATAAATATACTAATAATACTTTTACAATTTTTAATAGCCACATAACAATTAAGCAATTATCAATTAATTGTCCAAACACACTTGTAACCTAATTCTAAGCACGTGGATACATTTCAAAGCGTGGACTCTCTCTATCTTTGTTTTTTTTAATAAAAATAAATAAAAAGAAATCACAGTAAATTTCAATAAACTTAAAATAATAAAAATTTGATTTTCTGTTACTTTTTTAATACTTCGTGTCAACGTGTCCATGGCATTTTGCGGACGGAGTAAAATAATAAATAATGTTTGATTTTTTTATTTAAATAATAATTTGAATTTAATTTTATAATAATATATTCTTTTATATAATTTATATAATAAAAATATATTAAAGTCAAACTGCCACATAAATTGCTGTATCTGTATAGATAATTTACCTAATTCAATCAGCGTCAATATTTTTCAAAATTAATTAATATAAATAAATTATTGATTTATGTAACATAAATTTTTTTTTTTACAACGAAAAATAGAAATAAATAAACCATATTGTAATAATTCAATTTATGTTATAAGAAGGTTCGATAGTCAAGCATTCACATATATAATATTTTTCAGATTTAAAATTAAGATGTGTTCTTTCTCGTGCTTTGAACGAAAAAAAAAGAATGTAGAAAAAAATATTTTAATATTTATGCACATACATAATATTTTTATTTTATTTTATTTTATTTTTTTTAAAAAAAAGAGTTTTAAAATGTGTTGGTTTCAACCGACTTAGATTTTGACATTTTTGTAAAAAATAATTGTATGTACAGTATATTTATAATTTATGTAAAAATTAATAATGTTTTGGTATTGATGTATGACTACTTTTACTAAAATTGAAAATAGATACTTTAAAATTAGACAGACGAAAATGGTAAAAATTCTAATTTGAGTTGGGACGAAGAGAATAAAATACTCCCTCCGTCCCAGATACCGTGTCAGCTACACTGTAGACACGGTATTTTAGGAGGGGTGTAATTAGTAGATAATTAAGAATGTATTAGTGAAAATAATTATCTTATAATATAAATAATTATAAATTAAGATTAAGATAATTAATTAGTTTAATTAAAATTAAAAAAAATAATATTTAAAAATTCAAAATGAAATTAAAGTATGTAATCATTTTAAAAAAAAAAAGTGACATGGTATGTGGGACGGACAGAAACGGCAACATGGACATGGTATCCGGGACGGAGGGAGTATAAAATATAAAAATCCAGCAATCTTTCTCTATTACAACATCTATAGATTAATACATATATATATATACACACACCTATGAGTTTGGTTCATTTTGTGTTTTTGGAAGAATATGTATTTTATGTTAGATATAAAAAATTGTGTCGGTAATATAAAAATTAATATTGTATTGCATTGTTGATTATTTTTTAAGTGAATAATACATGTTATAGTATAAATAGGCACAATATCGTGTCCTACTTTAATACATGTATATATAATTTTGAATAGAAATTTGTGTTTTTTTACATGTTTAAAAATATTTTAATTTTCTATTTGGGACGTCCAACAACTATCGTCTTATTTTTTTATTTTTTTTAAATACAAATTTTACAGTTTTATCCTTCGTTCATTTATTACTTTTAATCTCTACCATACAATTAAGGACAAATTTGTTCATTCATTAAAAATAAATAAATAAATAAATAAATAATCACCTAAAACACAGTGCAAATATATTTCAGGACAATAGAAATGGGACAGATAAAGTATTTAAAGATCAATACAAAAAAAATAAATGAAACCCTTAGAGCCGGACGAAAGTAATATTAAAATATTATTTAAATTCAAATTCAAATCTGTAAAAATATTTTTAAATTTGGAGTTGTTAAGATTGGTTTGATGGGATTTTCTGTGGCATTGAGAGGAAAGATCTGCGCACATGCAAACAAAAAATTCGTTCTTGCACCCATTGACTTCTGGTGGTTGAAGTCAAAATCAATATTCAACTCTTTTGAAAATGCATAAAGTCAAACCGCCTAAATATACATGCATATACATACATACATACATACATTTATATACATATACATTCTACCTAATTAATTAATTAATTAATTGTTAGATTCTTTGAAATTTACAGATTTTGGAATATTCTAACTTCTTATACCTATGATCCATCAAAATTCCTTTATTTCTATATCTCTTCTCAATAAATAAATATTTTTATCTATATTTTAAAAATATTTTTTTTTTATATAAAATTAGCTTTTAGTTCATTATAAATGAATAAATATATACTTCTTCCGTCCCATTGAAAGGTTACCAATTTCTATTTTAGTCCGTCCTAAAACAAAGTTACAATACTCTAATTTAGTAATTGTACTACCCACCTAACATAATAAATACCCTTTCAGCTTACATTATATTACACAAATGTCATTACTTTTATATTACACTATACTAATAGGGGTATTTTCGTTTTTTTTACTACAATCCAATATAATACTAATATTAAAAAATTCACGTGCAAAAAGCAAATGTCACCCTTCTTATGGGACGGAGGGAGTATATTTATATTTATATTATAAAGTAAAATTTTATTATTTAAAAAATGATTTTTATATTGTATATATTTTATTAAAATATAATGCTAAAAATATTTAAAATCAATAATCGCGCTATTCATATACAAAAATAATTAAATAATGTCATAATTTATTATTAATAACTTACTAATTTATATTACCAAGAATACTGTATCTCTAATCAACTCGGGACGGAGAAAATATATGTTAACTGGTTTTTTTTTTCTGACTGAAAATAATTGTTAGGTAAAATATTTTATATAAATATATAATAGAGTTTTTAGAAAATAAAAAATAAAAAAAAAAAAATAGTGAATAACCTCTATTCTTTATTGGCCCATTAAAGTAACAACCTATTTGGGCTTTAAGGAGCAAAATAACTGGGCCAACTTCCTTTTTCATAAATTCAATTGGATAGTACTCATTTTGTGTCTTTTATATTTTGTACGAGAAATATATCAAAAAAATATATTTTTATATTGAATTTATAATTTTTTATGTTAGATTAAAAATATATATATATATTATATTTTAAACGGATTAAATTATTCAACCCTAATCCGATCCATTTATGATCGTGTCGAGTTCGTGTAGGGTTGAATATTTTAAACGGATTAAATTACTCAACCATAACCCGATTCATTTATGATCGTGTCGGGTTCGTGTTGACCCGTTTATTATCATGTCGGGTTTGGGTTGACTCGTGTTGACCAGTATACATAATTAAGTCGAATTTCTTGATTAAAAATTAAATAATTTTTTGTTATGTTGTCTGTGTTATGTTAGTTTTTATTAGTTTGAGCGTAAATTATGTTGAATTATTTAAAATTGAATTTAATTTAAATTAATTTATAAGAAAATTATTAAATTATGATTATTTTACATATATAATAAATATATTAATCAATATTAATATATTATAATCGAGTTGTCGCGTCGGGTTCGAGTTGAGAGCCTCAACCTTAACCTGACCCGTTTACTATTGTGTCGGGTTTGTGTCAACTCGTATACATAATCAAATTAAAATTTTTAACCTAAATTTAATTATTTTGTATCGAATTGTTATGTCGAGTCAATTTTTGCCGGCTTATATATATATATATATAAATTATTGTAGTAGATTAAGACGGTTTTTATTTATGGCAGGTTTCTCTCTGAACTCTCAAATGTGCAGTAGCGCGTATCGCCACGTCCCACGTGTCAGATCTTGCCACGCTGGCAAGTGGTAATCAAGCTCGTGTCGGATCATCACACAGTCTTTGTGGCCATCGACTCCCGCCCGGCACCGCCACATCCAGTAACTAATTGACACGTGTTTGCATTTTTTTAAAATTATATTATCTTTTATTCTAACTGACTATGCACTTTATTTATGTACGAAAATTTAAAAATATATTTTTCCTCGATATCTATTTTTTTTTATTTTCATCTATTCTATATGATTTTTTTTAAATATAATTGTAAATTTTAATTATATTTTAAATTTTATACTCCTTTCGTCCTATTGAAAATTTGTTATTTTTTATTTTCGTCTATCTCAAAACAAGGTTATCATTTTCTAATTTTTTAATTGTACTATTTATCTAACATAATAAATACCCTTCCAACTTATACTATATTACACAGTACTAATAAGATTAGGGGTATTTTCGTTTTTTTTCATTACAACTCATTATAATACTAATATTAAAAGATGTAAGTGCAAAAAGTAAATGACAATCTTGCACCGGACGGAGGGAGTAATTTAATTTTTAATTTTTAATTTTAATTAAATTATTTAGATATATTAATATTAATTTACAATTATTTTTATTATATAATAATTATTTTTACTAATAAATTTCTTAATTATTTACTAATTATACTTTATTTATATTATCGTGTCTACCGTATTGTAGACACTTTTTGTAGAACGGAGAGAATAATATTTTTATATAAAACATAAAATTGAATATTATAGAAAAATTATTAATATATAGATATATTGTGATTATAAAAGATAGTAATAAATTGATTATTTTCAGATAAATATAAATAATAAAATTATAAATAAATTATACATAAATTTAATAAATAATTAAAAAATTGATATAAACATAAAAATATTTGTAATATACAATACATACTAAAAAAATAAAATAGATATTTTATTTTTGAACAATAAAAATATATTTACTAGTGGACAGTGGACGGGGGCGTATGATTTAAATCAAAAAAAGAAAAATTGTAAATGAACAATACAAAATATATAAAAAAATATTTATATAATTCGAGATTAAATTTATTTAATAAGTATCAAAAAAATGATGGGAGCATATAATTGGGATCTTCAAGTTGCCAAATCGCATCTACCATTTTGATGCTCAGCATCTCCTTCATCATCCATCTAATCGGACGGTCACCGTTCATCCTCCAATTTCCATAAATCTCACCTCTGCACTGCCCGCAGCACCAAAAATCGATCGTCGGAGATGGCGGAATTCCAGTCGCCGGTCGTCGGAGCTCTCACGGTCAACTATCTAAGCTACGGATTGCTCACCGCCGTCAACAGAGCGTGGGCGGCGTGGCTGACCTTAATCACCGCCGTCGTCGGATTCTGGAAGGTTAGGGCCTTGCAATCGAAGCCGGAGGAGGAGGAGGAAAAGGAACTCCGACGCCGTGAAGATTCTCGGACGGCGGAGGAGGCGGCGCCGGCGGTTGTCAATTCGGAAAATCTGCGGCGGTTGTCGTCGCCGGCGCCGTACGCCGACGGCAGTCCGAAGGTGAAATTCAGTTTATACTTTGGGGAGGAAGAATTGGGGGAAATGGATGAGTGTGTAAATGAGGACAAATGCGGCGGAGCTAAGGAGGCGGCGCCGTCGCCGGCGGTGGCGGAGGATTTAGCGGCGCGGTGGTGCGACGATTGGGAGAGATGGACGGTGGAGATGAGGAAGGGAGACCTGGGATGGTACACGTGTCAGGATCTGAGGATGTTGGATGGTAGTGTGGTGCGGTTGTGGGGAACGCCTAGACGGCGGAGGTACGCCGGCGCCGTTGAACTGTGGCCGGAAAACGTCGTCGTTTGGTAGTATGTTCTGGAATTATGCTGTACTTATCAGATTTGGCAATTGAAATAAGTGTAAATAAGATTATTATTATTATTATTATTATTATTCAATACAAATTGAATGTGAAATGTATTATTCCCGCATCCTAAGATATTTATAAATTTCGTTTGAATTGCTTGATATAATTTTAGGGTGTGTTTGTTTGGGTTTTAGATTTTGAGTTGGGATTTAAATAATAAAAATTTTGAATTTGAATAGTGGAATGATGTGATATTTTGAATGTAAAATTGATTTTTAGTATAATATAAAAAAATAAAAAATAGGTGTTTGATTTGATATTTTTGAAAAAAAAAAATGAGATTGAATAGTGTAAATTTAATCCAATCCCCAAAAAAAACACACCCTAATATATTTTAAACAATTTTGTTACTTATTCCATCATATTTAATTTGTTCATTTTTTTTTTATTTTCGTCCGTCTCACTTAATATGTTATTTTTTTAAAAAAAATATAATTATAAACTTTAATTAAAATTTAAAATCTATAATTCATATTTTTTTTATTTTAATTAAATTATTTAGTAATTTCCAATCGTAACTTATAATTATTTTTTTATTTTGAATAATTTTATAAATTAGATTGAAAACAATAACAGAAAAAATGTGCGTAAATAGAAATGAAATGATGAACTTGATTAATATATTTTGATGTGGTTTAACAAGTTTATCAATATTATTTTTAGAAAATATTAATGGTAGGTTAATATATAGGATTTGTTCGTTAATTATTATAAAGTGAAGAGTTGTGTTATATTTCTTAGTAATTTTATAAATTTTGCGTCTGATTCATTTGATCGTATTATTTTACAATGTTGGACATGTGCGTGTTCAACCTGCGAATAAATTTTAAAATATTTATTTTTAAATTACAAATTTTTTTTTTTTTTTTTAATATTTAGACTTTAAAAAATAATAAATATACTTAGAAATATTCTTTTCTCTTGTTCTAAAAAAAATTACTGTTCCTGTATGCTAAATATAAGAGGAATAAATATATTTTTAATTTTAAAAATTTAGAAATTAAAAATTTGAAACTCATTTGCAGTTTGAACATGTGTAGGTTAAGAATAACCAACAAAAGTTAGATACAAAATTTACGAAATCATGAGAAAGTTTAACGAAATTTTAAAAGTATGAAAAATTTGCTCTAACTCCGTAAAATCACAAATAATAACAACGCTCTATGTCTTACATATAATATCATTTTTTTTAATATTTATATTCGTTCTACGGCTCATATTACTTTCTTTTTGTGAAATAATAATATATTTTAAATTTTATTATAATTTATAATTTTTTAATTTAAATTAAATTAATTAATTATTTTAATATTAATATCTAATTATTTATATTATATTATAATTGATTTTTCATTATTTATTAATCATATATTTTTTAAATTTTCGTATTTATAGCAATCTTAACATTACATTTGGAACAAATGGAGTAATAATAAAAACAAGCACACTCATTACTGTTAATTGAGTTAATGATGAAAACAACCGAGTGTTGAGATATACATACGTGTAATTAAATTCTATTTAAAAAATTGAAGGGTGCATTCGTTTATTGACTTTGAAACCATGTTTGATTATAAAGGAATTGGATTTGTTTGATTTATTTCAAATGCATATATTTGAATTATTTTGAATTTGAAATATATTCTGACGGGGAACTGATTTATCGAATAAAATACATTTGAACATTTTAAAGGGTCAACTCTCTAAACATGGGCGGTTCACAGCTATAATAATGTTTTAACAACAAAAGACAATGCAGAACATAAAACAACAATGGTATAAGATGTTTGTTGACCCGGTTCGATTATCAACAAATCTATATATCCGAGGATTCCAATCCATGAGGAATTCCATTAATCAGTGCTGATTAAGAACACAAACAACAACAACTCATTTAACTCTAACGCTTGTCATGGTTAACCCAGAAAAATACCGGTGGTGAGAGCTTTTTTTCAATAATCTTATCTCTAAGATTTGCACACTAACTCTCACACCACCAACTTGTTTGTCTTCTTTGGTTGTATATTTGATACATCATTGGAAAGAACACACTTCACAATAATTTTCTTTAGCATAGAAAATGATGGAGTGTTATCCAATGATTCTTCACGAGTCTGACCATCCCAAAATGCCAAGTTTGACTTTTGCAGGCATTTAAAGGATTGGAAACAATGGATAATACTAAGCCCACGAATTCAGATTGCAGCAAAGATTGCAGTGACAGCCTTACTGCAACATCAAACTACTCGAAAAGAAAAACTTGCTGCAGGAAAATGAAAAATATTTTTGTCCATATGCCAAAAATAACAAAGAGTTTATTTCATTCACATACTCAATAATTAAAATCTATCATTTGAATGTAAGAGGTATTTAAATTAAACTAATATAAAAAGAAATAGAATTTGAAATCCACAATTAACTTTAGAGATTCGAAATTCAATGGCAAATATTGCCAAATCAAATGAATGAATTTGATAGAATTATTTAAAATATCAATAATCCAGATTATTCCAATCAAGCTGGCGGCTGGCTTAAGAGTATTTTAATGCTACATATTATCTACTCAATTAAATATAAAATATTATAATTTGAATTGAATGGTGACAAAAACATTTACATTAAATAATAACAAATAAAAATTACAACAACTCGTCTGGGTGGTGTAGTTGGTTATCACGCTAGTCTCACACACTAGAGGTCCCCGGTTCGAACCCGGGCTCAGACATTACTCTTTCTTATTTTATTTGTTTATATTTATCTTGCGAAAAATATTAATTTATTATTCTTTCTTTGTACATACGGCTGATCTTCTAATCGAACTAAATCGAATCGAATTTCTTTTTGGCGGCGATAATCTTTACATATACGGCGTGAACAAGATCGACGAGTTGTGTCCTCCGAATCCGAATGAATTGGACAGCGCCACCTTCACGTCCATTCTTTCTTTCTTTGGTCCAACGAGCACATTCGTGTCCTAAATAATTCATATATACATATATATCCTCACATAGCGCAATCGCTAAATGGCAAAAAAAGTCGAGGGAGAAAGGGAGGGTCGTACCACACCGTCGTCCGGATCTTCAAGATTGATGTTCGGATGAATCCACCCGGTCCTAATTGCCTACAATCAATAGCGACACTTATACTGACGGCATATCACTTATATTAATATAATATCGTGACATTTTTTCGATATTTTGCAAATGTGAATTAGAGATGAAATGCACCTACCAGTACCGTTGCGACGGCCTCGACGGCACCGGCTGCTCCGAGCAGGTGGCCGACCATCGATTTTGTAGAGTTCACCCTTAGCTGAAAAAACGGCAGAGAATCAAACACACACTATATGCAAAAAACGTCACGAATTTCGGGACACGCAAACCTCGGGATTATTCGGAAAGCATCGAAGTAGCGCTTGGTACTCTTTTAGGTCGCCAGAAGGTGTCGACGTTGCATGCGCGTTTATGTAATTCACGTCGTCCCTAGACACTCCCGCCTGAGCCAGAGCCTTCTCTATGCATAGAATGACTCCAGTTCCTGCTCGATTATACACATATATATATACGCGTATCTTCAAACGATCAAAGCGACATATCCGAGGATTCAATGGAGAAAGAACAGTGTACCTTCGGGATGAGGCTCCGTCATGTGATAAGCATCGCAAGTGAAGCTTCCGCCGAGAAATTCCGCGTAGATAGTAGCGCCTCGATTCTGCGAATGCATCGACATTCGATTACGTATGTATGTAACTCGTCTAATTACACGGTGAAAACGTTAGATTGTGAATCGATTGAAGTATCCGGATACCTTAGCATGCTCCAGTTCCTCCAAGAGCAGCACTCCGGCGCCCTCGCCTAATACAAATCCATCCCGACTCTGTCAAAGACCGGAAATTATGTATAAATATCCTCGGATCTCACCAATTCTCTTATAATATCGATTGATTGATGTAGTTCAATATATTTATATAGATAGAACTATACGATATCCCAAGGGCGAGATGCTTTAGTCGGATCAGAGTTTCGTTGCGACAGAGCCCGGCACGCAACGAAGCCTCCTAGCCCTGAAACAAAGTAAAGAATCCGTAACCGAATAAAGGATTCGAAAATTATGTGAGTGAGAATAGAGCTGTTAAATGAACCGAGCCGTTCGTGAATTCGGCTCAGTTCGGCTCGGTTAAACTTCATTCATGAACGTTAATAAGTCGAGTCAAACAATATAAACAGATTCGTTTAGTTAATGAACTAGTCCGAACTTTGTTTACGATCGTTTGTTAAAATAATATATTTATTATAAATATTATATATACGCATAAAATTATAATTTATAAATAAACAAAATATCAATTTAAAATAAATAAAATAAAATAATTTTAAATTTTCTTTTTATTTATATATAAATTTTAAAAAATGAGACAAACGAACTCGAACAAGCTTAATCTAGCCGAACACGAACAATAAAATTTCTTAACGAGACGAGCTCGAACACTACGAACGAGCTCAAAAGCTTAACGAACGAACACAAACATTTAAAATTCGGCTCGACTCGTTAACAGCTCTAAGTGAGAAGAAGAAGAAGATCGTTACCAATGGGTATGACTGCGGCATCCGAGCCACCGCAAAGCATCACATCCTGCGAAAATATTGGGCAAGAATCAACGATAATATTAGCTGGTGAAAAAAGAGATTTTCTATCAACTAGCAAAATCAATAGCAGTCGGGACTCGGATATGAATCTTGAATGAAGAAAATAACGAACTCACGGCTTCGCCTCGGACAATGTGGTTAGCCGCGTTCAGAATGCAAAAGTTACTAGTAGCGCAAGCAGTCGATATGGAGTAGTTCGGGCCCATCCATCCCTGCAACGAATAATCGAGCTTACGATTATGCTACTCTATGCAATATTTTGATGAAAAAAACAGAGATGAATAAATTGTTCGACCAGATCCATGGCGAGCATGGCCGAACCCATGTTGGTAGTTGCAAAAGGAACAGAAAATGGATTCATCTTCCTATATGAAATGCGCAGCGCTTCAATACCGTCGTTAAAAACCTGATCCACGCAATAGTAGTGAACAAAATCATCGAAAGGAGTGATGAACTTAATCGAAAAGCATAATTCCTTGACCAAAATCGTCATAAAAAGGACCGAGGAAATGCAATCTCACTTTCATCCCTCCCATTGCCGATCCAATGAGGACGCCGCATCGTGCTTTGTTCAATTCTTCCATGGCCTCTTGCGTAAGGCCGCCGTCGGCTAAAGCTTTCTTCCCTGCTGTTAGCATGTAAAGCATGAACTTGTCCATTCTTTTGGATAGTTTAGGTGCAACCCATCCATCGGTGGAGAATGATTTAATCTCTCCTGCAATTCTCTGCAATCGAAAATCGAAATGGTTTGGATGAAATGGATGATAAATAGCTGTTAACAATGGCGATGGAGGACATTGGGGAGGCGTACAGTAGGATACTGCGAACAATCGAATCCTTCTATCTCACTAATTCCGCTGATTCCTTCGAGCAAATTGTTGTAAAATGTGTTTGGATCGTGACCAAGTGATGTCTCCACACCCATGCCGGTGACGACGACTCGCCTTTGAACTGTTGGAGGCTTAGCCTTACGGATGAACTCCATGGAAGGATCTAGAGCTATGGCCATTGCTCCTTCTACAGCTCAAACAAACCACAGTACAATCATTTAAATCTTCCAAAATCAAATTTGATCGACACTACAGCAATCAACAACATAAACATCTGGTGAAGAGCACCGATTCAATTTATTCACCCAATCGAATCCAAAAATGTTTTAACAGTATGCACAAATGAAGACAGAGCTATCAACAACTTGTTGGAACAACAGAGCAGTCAAACTTCGATTTCTATTAATTTGCCCATGGAATAGAACTGATAATCAAATTGAAAAGCGTACCAGAAATCACGGAGCGGCGGAGGTGTTTCCGCCGCCTGCAACGCGGCGGAGCGGTCCTCGATCCGTCGGATTTGTAAAATTGATCGCAGGGCGGGAAGGCGAAGAGATGAGCACATTTGGTCCCGCGGCGGGAGCAACAAGACGACGTCGTTGAGACCAGGGGAACTGGAGACCCGTCCCTGTCGGACATGCATGCGGCGGCAATCCGCCATGAGCACACCGCCGATGACGCCGCCATACCAAACCTCCAGTCCTCCGCCGCACCTCCTCTGTACACAACAATCACTATATATATATATATATATACACACACCTACAACCGTCTATATATATATATAGAGAGAGAGAGAAATACAAATCAAATCAAATCAAATCAAAATCAAAGTGGCAGATAAAGTCTATAATTGAATGAATCTGAGATTGCAAGTATGAAAATCTATGAGTAAATGAAAGGTGCGGTGGTTACTCGGATTTTCAATCGAACTTCTTTAATGGTGTGGTTGGTTGGAGAGCAGCAATTAGAGTCAGTGTCAACTCCACCATACATACACAGCGACAAACTCCCCTGCTTCTCTCTTCTCTCTTCTCTCTCTCTCTCTCTCTCTCCTCTCTAGTTCAGTCTCTCTCTCTACAATGTTTCTCGCTCTAGGGTTAATGCGTGCGTACGTCCCAACAAAATACGCAGAGGAGAGCTGAGTCAGCTGACTATCTTCTCCACCAGTAACTCAGTTAAATCATTATTATATATAAATAAATAGATATATATATATATAATCCACCAAACCTGCCGTACACTTAAATTTTCATAACTGTTCTTCATAGCATATTGCGGATCAAAATTTTCTAATTTTATTTTTTCTTAATAGAAAATTATATTTATTTAAACTTAAAACTATATTATTTTTATGACATTAACTTGTGTCAATAATAGAAATGCATATGTATATTTGTAATTATTATTTATTTATATTATTTTTGTTTGTTATATTTAAAAATATTTATACATTAATATTAAAATATTTTAAATTTTTACATAAATTATAATCATATTACTACATAGGTAATTAATATATAAATATAAAACCAACAAGAAATATATTTTTACTATTTTTAAAATATTCCAAAATATGAAATTCTGGGTTTGATTGTTTTGTGTTTTGGTTCGAAATCAAATTTTTTTTATATATAAAATATAAAAAATTGTGTAAGAAATATAAAAATAATAAATAAATATAATATATTAATATTTTTTAAAAAATGTGTTTGATATTTTCGAGAATAAGAATACACTCCTGGGGTGTGTTTGTTTGGGGGTTTGGATTTTGAGTTGGGATTTGAATAGTAAAAATTTTGAATTTGAATAGTTGTATGATGTGATATAAATAGGGTTTGATGTGATGTTTTGAATGTAAAATTAATTTTTAGTATAATATAAAAAATGAAAAATAGGTGTTTAATTTGATGTTTTTTGGGGGGAAAAAAATTAAATGAATAGTAGAATTTTGTTAAAATTCTACAAACAAAACACACCCTAATGTACCTTTAACTTTTCAGATTTGAAATTTTTTTTAGAAAAAAATATATATATAATAGAATTTCTTTAAGAAAAAAAAAATCTTGAAAATAGTAGAAGCCATTATATATTAAAAATTAAGATTATTTGTTTTGTAAAATAGTATAAAATAATTTTTTTTTATGTAAATTATAATTAATTGTATAGATAATATAAAAATAATAAATATATATATAAATATTAATTTTTTTAGAATATATATATATATATATACAAACAAAGACACCATAAATGTCAATGATTTTTTCGTATTTAAAAAATATATATTAAAATTCTCTATTTAGAACTATTAAATATGAGCCTTTAAAAAAATATTTATTCCGTACCAATATAATAGTCTTGTTTACCATTTTTGTCCGTGTCAAAACAACAGTCTTATATCCATAAATAATCAATTCACCGTAAAATTACCCCTATTATTTTATTTTTATTACACAATTGCTACTCCATCCGTCTCAAACATCGTGCAATATTTCTTTTTTTATTTGTCCCAAACTCACTGCAACATTTTCAAATTTAGAAATAATTAATAATATTTTTATACATATATTAATATACACTTCACTTTATCTCATCACATCACTCAAATAAAAAAACAAATAATCATTTCTCTCTCCAATCACATCACTTAATATCAAAATTATCTCAAATTACCATACTTAATACTCTCCACCTAAATTCCTCTACCAAACACAAATGTTGCACGATATTTGGGACTGAGGGAGTACTATTTTTTAAACTAATACACTTATAAGGGCAAAAAAGTTTTTTATTGATGTTCAATCCAATTAAAATTATATTTATGGGACGAAATGAATAATTTCTTACGATATTTTTTAAAATATAAAAGAATCGCGTAGAATATTTAAATTAGATAAAAACTAGTACAAACTTATTTCAAATGAAATATAAATAGTTTTGCTTAAAAAATAAAGATACAAAACAACAAGAATAGTGTTGGTAATAAATTTATTATTTAAAATTCGGATATTATAAGGCATATACCTAACACACAAACAAACAGAAAATATGTATTAATAATAAAATAATAGTTAATATGGTCGTCAAGGTATATTCTATTGTATCACAAAGCAATTAATAGTTATATTATTTAAAGGATATACATTTTTATTTTATTTCTTTATTATTAAAGAAATGGATTTTATTTATTTATTTATTATTATTATTATTATTTTACGTGTAGAGTGTGTCATTGCAAATCGAACAAATAAAAGATATATTGTTTTATTTATAAAATATAGTAACAATATGAGTAATATTTAAATAAAAGTTCAAATCAAAATTTTCATTTTAAACCACAATTAAACAAACTTCTTTGCATTTTACTCTAATTTTTTTATTTGTAAATATTTAATGTAATATTTTATCATTAAAACAATAAATACTCATATTTATAATTTTTTGGATGAAGTTACTACTCCCTCTATCCCACATAATTTGTCTTTATTTTTTATTTTCGTCCCTCCCAAATAATTTGTCCTTTCCTTTTTTTTGGAAAAAATTAATTATAGACTTTAATCATATTTTAAAATTTAAATTTAAATTTTTTTAATTTTAATTAAACTATTTAGTTATCTTAATCTTAATTTATAATTATTTTTACTAATACGTTTCTTAATTATTTACTAATTATACTTTACCTAAATTCCCGTGTCTACAGTAATACACCCGTATTACATGGGACGGAGGGAGTATTAAATATGAGTTTATTATAAAAAAAAAAGTAAATATATTTATTTATTGAGAATTTTATAATGAAAATAAATCTAATAATTCATACATCCAATAAAAATGATACTATTTTTCTTTTTTTTTTTTTACCGAAAACAAGAATATCATTTATTAATTTATGGTGTGTTTGTTTGGAGGATTTTGAGCGATTTTTACGATTCACACAAAATTTTTTCTCAAAAAAATCAAATCAAGTACCTATTTTTTTATTTATTATATTATACTGAAAATCAATTTTTCTATTCAAAACATCGAATTAATAACTATTTATATCACATCATACAACTATTTGAATTTACTATTCAAATTTTTAGTAATTATATTACCTACCTAACATAATTAATACGCTTACAACTTTCAATATATTACACACTCGTAATTACTTTTATATCGCACAATTTAATAGATATATTTTTTTGTCAATTTTACTACAAACTAATATAATACTAATATTAAAAATCTACGTACAGAAAATAAATGAAATTCTTTTTCCGAAACGGAGGTAATATGTAAGTTTAATATAAAAAAATATGCTTACTCCGTCCCATTTCATTTATCCACTTTAGATTAGGCACAAAGTTTTAGATATTGAATAATTAATAAGTAATTTAAAAGTGTATTAGTAAAAATAATTATAATTTAATAAAAATAATTATAAATTAAAATTAAAAATGACTAAATAATCTTATTAAAATTTAAAAAATTATAAATTATAAATTTTAAAATATAATTAAAGTGTATAATTATATAAATTATATAGTACAGATAAAAATAAAAAGAATGAACAAATTAAGTGAGACAGAGGGAATAATATATAAAATGGACAAGTAGAACATAATTGTATTTTTGTTTTGTTTTGTTTTCATTCAATTTTCATTATTTTGATATAAAAATATATTTCTTTTATCTCATAAAATACTCTTTTCATTATGGATAAGACGATTCATTTTGTTAGGACATCGTATTTTAGATAGTGTTAATTAGTAAATTAGTAAATTATTAATAATAAATTATAATATTATTTTATTATTTTTTTATAAATAATATTGTTAGTATTTCAAAAAATATGAATTAGTATATAATTAAAATAAATTAAGGATATTTATTTAAATATTTTTAGCATTATACATCAATAAAATATATACTCTATCCGTCTCATATCTATATATTAATTTGCTTTTTGCATAGAGTTTTAGAAATATTAGTATTATATTGGGATGAAGCAGAAATAAAGGTAAACAAGACTAAATTAACCCTATTAGTATTGTATGATATAAAGGTAATTACATTTGTATAATATATTGTAAATTGGAAGGGTATTTGTAATGTCATGTAGATTGTACAATTACTAAAAAAAGAAATAGATACTTTGTTATGGACGGACCAAAATAAAAAAATGAATAAATTGTTAAGCTACGGAGAGAGCATAATATAAATATTATTTTGTACATAATAAAATTTTAGGGAAAAATTAAAATATAGAAAAAAATTTGTTTATTGAGCAAAGATATAAATAAATGAATTTTGAGTGAGTTAATGGATAAAAATTAAAAATTTAATCAAAATAATTTATATTCTATAAATAAATTTATTAAAAAATGTTATTTGTTATTATACTAGAAAAAATGGAGAAAAAAGAAGTTATTTACAGAAAAAAATATATTAGATTCAAATTATTAAGGTCATCTCCAACTCTCCACTGCATTTTTTACAGTAAATCTACGGTAATTTTACTCTAACTATAAATTTCAATTTTTATCTAAAAAATATATTCTCGGTATATTCCACTTTTATATTATTTTATATGACTTTTCATATTTATAAATTACACCCCAACAAAAAAAATAAAATCACATACAATTTTTTAAAATATAAAATTATATATCATCTACTAAAAAATTAAAATTACACAGTACACCAAAAAAAATACTAAAAATATAAAAAATACTACAAAAACTCAACTAAAAAAATAGTAACAGTGTTACTGGGGGTGGGTTGGAGCCCCTCCCTCCTACTTTTTGTACAACTTAATAATTTTTCTTTTTTTTTTTTAAAGATAAACCGTTTTTTTAGTCTTGTCACTGGACCCCTTTATCATTTTAGTCTCGTAAGTGGAGCATGTCGCAAACTAGTTCCATAAGTGAAAATTTATCGCTGTTTTAGTCCTCCGGCGTCAGAGACGCTCGTGTGGCTCGACGGAGGTGACGTATCCCGCCAGGTCAGCGACACCTGGCAAACACGTGGATTTATTTATTTTTTTATTTTTTTAATTGGACCAAATAAAAAAATAAAAAAATACAAATAAAATTAAAAATAAATTTAAAATAAGTTTTAAAAATAAATTAAAAAATAATAAAATAATAAAAAAATCAATG